CGAGTTATCTCGTCGAGTTTGATCATTTGTTAATTGACGATTTTTAGTTGCTGATGTTGGACGGCTTGTTGTTCGACCTTTACCTACGAAGAAAAAAAAAACCTAACCTTTCTTAGAATTGAAATAATAGAAATAACAAACCAATGATCATTTCATAATCAGATGGTGGAGGAATAGTTGATGTTCGACCATTATTTATAGTTCGAGACGAATGTGTAGAAGCTGGTGGACGTGATTCAGATGTTATTACCAAATCGCTGACAAAAAAAGAAGAAAAATTTCATAAAAGAGAGAAGAAATTTTTTTTTATGTATACTTTGTTTGAATGCGTGTAGAATTTGTTGACCATGATCGATCATGTTGTTTAGGTGACGTGTCATTATCGAAATTCGATTGTGTAAGAGGAATAACATCAGGTTCAGGTTTAATCCATCCATTAGCAACATAATCATTTTCACTAAAACGTGGTATGTAATTTGTTGTTGTAACTGGTCTTGAATACATTTAAAATAAAAACATAGCGGAATTGATTTTTTCAAGAAAATAAAATCTTACCTTGTTTCTGTAAAAGCTTGTTGTTGTTCAACAATCTCATTATTTAATAACCACAATGGTGTTGGTTTTGATTTCTATAAATATAAAACTATTTAGTCCAAAAATTTTTGTGATCATTTAATTAACAAGGTCACAATTCATACAGTTAAGAAGGAATAAGTTCAACTGATCAATGACTTTCTCACTAAAAACTTTTCAATTGTAGATTATCAACCATACTGATTTTGAGTATAACCACGAGAACTATCCTTAGACCTTCAAATGTTGTTTTCTAAAGAACCGATTTCCAAGCTAACAAACATTTTGTAAATGTTGTTTTGGATCTATTCAGATTATAGAGCAGACCGCAATGTCTATAAGATAATCTTTTCGAAGAATGAAATTTAACTAAAATAATATCATCTTGAAGATTCTAACATTGAAATGTTAATACAGAATGGCCTATGAGTGGCTTTACGATAAAAAATTTGAACATCTCCACTTCATGGGACCAGGTTTTTTCCTTGATATAGCAGATTTCAGAGATCTTTTTGCTGAAGATGGTCCTAAAATTTGATCGCATGTTTTGTTGTGCGATGCATGCTTGTTTTTTCTCTTTCACCATCGGTATAGATATCTGTCTTTTATAAATTACAATGAAGTTAAAACAAGAGTTGCTTTGGCTATCCTTGCTGCTGCTTGTTTTTATAGCAGTTTCGAAATTTTAGATTAGTGTTATAACCTATAAGGTAATAAAGTTCTTATGAACAGAAACTCTGAAGTCTCCTGTATCACGTGGAAAAACCTAACTCCAATAGAGTGGAACGGAGTGAAGATATTCAATTTTTTTATCGTAAAGCTACTTATCAACTACTCTGTATGTACCTGTTACACAGATTAAAATGATTGAATTTTCTCCGAAAAATACAATTTGTAACAGAAAAACTGACAGTTTTCTAGACAAATCAATATTTTCTATAATCGAGATCGATCAAAGAAAATTTTCTGCAAAAGGTTGGTTTGTCTAAACGGAAACCAATATATGAAGATCTAAGTGGATTTCTTATGCTAATATTCAAAATCATCATGGTTGATAGACTATAATCCAGTTGTAATAGTTCCCTGGTTGGTTTCTTATATTTTTTTTAAGTTATTAAAAAAAACCGATGCATACAAACATGTTAAGAAAGGTGTCAATGTGTGTATCGGTTTTCTTTTGTCTACATTTATACCCACACCTTTCCTGAATAATAGAAAGAAACAAATGATACCGGTATAATGGTTTCATTTCCATATGAATATCTTCGATATGGTTGTTCTTGTCTTGATTGACTTCTTAACTCTTCATAACGTTCTTCTGTTACTAACGATGAATTATTATTGTTATTATTATTATTCATAGATAAAAGTTTTTCTAATGAAGATTTTAATGAATCATTTTGTTTTCGTAATAAATCAATACGAATTTCATTTGTACGCATTTGATTTTGCATATCAATCATAATATTATTTGTTGCTAAACAAATAAAAAAAAAAATTTGAACATAAATAATAAATAAAACTTTTTTGTCAAAAAATTTACTTTGTTCATGTTCAATAGGTCCATTAAGATCAGGATATTGTAATAACATTTGTTCATGTTCATCCATTTGTTGAATTTGTTCATGTAATTGTTCAATATTTGATTTCAGCATAGTCATTTCTTGTAATAAATGATTATTAGTTTCCATTAATGATTGTACTTTATTTATATCTGTTGATGATCGATTTTGTTTTTGAACTGTTTCAAGTTTTCTTTCAACTTCATCACGAGATATTTCTAATTCTGTCACTTGTGTTCTAATATAAATAGAAATTAATGGAATTTAAAAAAAAAGAAAAGATTCATTTGATTATTTTTTTTTTACTTGAGTAATTCACATTCTTCTATTAATTCTTCATATGATGTAGAAAGTGCTTTTTGTTTTGATTGATAATTCTAAAAACAAAAAGAATTACTAAGAAAAAAATTGATATAAATGTTTTTACTTGTTCTTGTCGAATCATATTTTCAATACGTGTACGTTCTTTTTGTAATTCGCGATTACGTGCTTCAAGATCACGTTTAACTAAATCAAGTTCTGTTTGTAGACGAATACGATCTTGTTCTAATGTTTTTATAACATCATCAGATTTAAATCGATCTTGAATTAAAGTTCTTAATTCATTTTTTGATGATTCTAAATTTAAAAAATAAAATTAATATCGAATGAATAATGAAGAACTAGACGAAAAAAAAACTAAGTATTCTATACTTATATTTGCAAGAATTAAATAGAAGAAGTGGATAAGTTCAGCTTTTTGGCAGATCTGGCAGCATGGTGATTGTTGTTCCTCCCCTCACACCCAATAGAAGTAATAAAAATATTCTTTTAGAAGATCTCTCTCACAAAATATTCGCATAAAAGAATTAAAATCTTGAGATCGAGTAAATCGTCAAGAAATATCAGTGTCAGTTGTTAAAATGTGATTGAAAATTATTAGTAAAGCTCTCTAGTAAGTTTCACTGTTCATTGTTTAGTTTAATAGAAAAATATTTTAAGATTTTTTTTTTCATATAAAACCAGTACAATGAATCGAATATATGCAAGTACAATAATTGACTTAGTTCGAAAAAAAAAAGTGCACACCACCTTAGACGGCATCATTTAAAAATGGGTGCCTCTTGCTAGAATCCTAAATCAGTAACAAATTCAGCGTAAAGCAACAAAAGTTGACTAATGCACATCAGTTTAGTTAATGTAAAACTGTCATTTTATAATAAAAATGAAAAAAAAAATCAAATGCTAGTTTAGTTTGGTAAAATCAATTATTCTTCAAGTGTAGTGTAGTTTCATTAAACCTTCATTTTTTATTATCATGTTTGATACGATGAAATACAATTGTTGCTTCTCATCATATTCATAAATCAAAATAGAAAAAAGACGCCTTATTATTTTAATCCTACAGAAATTATACTGACATCTTCTATTGAGCTTCTCGGATCAAGTAGAATAAATATACTCAACTGTATTTTTAAAAACTTTTTTATATGAATAATACAAGTATCAATTCACTTAAACCAATATTCGCACATTATCTATTCTATCATTGGAATAGTTAATATGCTTATTAAAAAAAAAACATAACGTAGCTTTCATTTGCGAGATAAATATTTCCGATATGCATTACTGCTCAAAACTATAATAACAAGGCAATTTCAATTCTTCTTTCTGTACTGTCGAATATCTAACATGTGAAAGAACACAAAATTATGAATAAAATGAGGGATCGTCGCGTTTTACACGACCTTCCATTACAAAGTTACAAGCATCACAAAAAAAGCAAAACTTATCAAAAAATTGCTAAAAACTGCATTTGATTTTTTATTATGCTTGTAGTTTTGTAAGGAAGCGTCGTAGAAAATGCGACGATCCTTCATTTTGTTCAGAACTCTATGCTCTCTCTCATGTTTTTGTTAAAACCCAACTTCCATCACGTCTTCCAGGACCTAAAAGCCTACTGAATTCAGTTCTCTAAAATACTTTCTCATATAGTCCCACTTTGAAACCTTAATAAATGTTACATCTAATAGAGAACTTCATTGACTATCTAAATCATTATTTGGATGTTAGGTAGATACTTGATATTACAGAAAAATAAAATAAAATAATTACCATAATTTGAAAAAATTCTTTGAAAATAAGATTATGATAAACAAATACCTAGTTTTTCAATTTGTTCTCCTCTTGATATACATAAATCATTAACTTCTTTTAATTGTTGTTCAATTTTAATTTTTTGATTTGCTAATAATTTAATTTGTTCATTAAGATTATGTTCTTGTTGTTCAGATTGTTTTTTTAAATCATTTATTTTTTTATCATGTAAATCTTGTAAAATTTTTTTTGATTGTTTATCATCATTAATTAATTGTTGTAAACGATGATTTGTTTCATCTTGTTTTTTACAACGATTTTCATTTAATTGTAAATCACTTTTTGTTTTATTTAATGTATTATTTAAATATTCAAGATGTTTTGATAAACGATCAATATCTTTTGTTTGACAATCCGACCAATGATTAATATTATCTAATGAAAATAAATCTGTTATTGTATTACGATATTGGGCAAGTGATGATGGTAAATTATATGTATGACATAAATTTATTAAACTATCACTATGATCACGGAGACATTGTTGAAATTTTAAACATGATTGACATGGACCCATTAATGTTTCATTTGTTTGACAACGTTTTTCAATATGTGCATTTGTTTTCGAACGTGATAATGTTGTTGTTGTTGTTGTTTTAGTTTCATTTTGATTTGATCGTTTGCGTTCATTCTAAAAAAAAGAATGATTGATTATTATTAGAAATACAAGGTATACCCCCTCCGAACCTCGTGCTGTTGAAGCACGGTAGATAAATGTAATAATTTATTCCAATATTTTTTAACAACTAAACCAACACTAAGACTTGATTTTTGATTAATTGTTGATGATGAATCGATTGTATTAGATAAAATATTTGATTGAATTTCATGTATATAACGCCATGATCCATGTATAATAAGTAAAAGTCTAATAAAAAAAAATTACGTTTTAGAGAAAAACGGAAACGCACAACAACATATTTTGGTCTTCTTTGATTTTCAAAATTCAATCTAATTCAGGTATATATAGAGTGAAAGATGATGATGAGTTAATGATCATTTTAATGCAAAAATCGAAGCATTTTGATCTAGCAATGTTAGTATTCGTTTGACAGAAAATAAATAAAACAATCATTTGAATCTACTAGGCCGCATACAAATCTTTCATTGCATAAATTCTAAGTGTCAAATACCCATATACATTTCATTTATCGTTTAATTATTGTATTAATGAAACCACATCCACATTCAGTTTACTTCGTATTCGGTAGAACTTTTCAAATGCTACAAAACAATTAGTCCACTATTCATAAAGCCCAATTCTCAGATAAAATAATACCCATTTCACTTCAAACAAAAATCATATTTGAAATCAGTACAAAAACATGAGTCGACTTATGTAAATTTTCAACCTTTTCTGCGACTTCATTTTCTGATCAAATTTTCACCTCCCTGAATCCTTCAGGGACATGTGGAAAAGCGATTTAATTAAAAAAAATCATTCTGGCAGTAGAAAGCAACGTGTAAACTTGCAGTATAGTATCTTAAGACAAAAAGATATATGACTAAGCAATACAATAGTTGTTTTGATTACATTTATTTTACGTTATATCCCTGAGGGGAAGAGTCGAAGAGTGGAACTTTGATCAAAAAAAAAAGTTTGAAAGGTGCATAAGTCGACTTACGATTTTGTACTGATTTCAAATGTTATATTTGTTTGAAGTAAAATGAGTATTATACTCTACTTGCAGACTGTAGAATGTTAGTTGAAAATGGGATCTCACGAGTATCAATCTAATTATTTTGTAGCCCTTTAAAAGTTCTATCAATTACCTAGTGAACTAAGTGTAAAGAGACTTTCATTCATACAATAATGAAACGACAAATGGAATATATATGTGTATTTCTGACTCAAATCTCAAACAATGAAAGATTTGTATACAGTCTACTAGATTTAGATGATTATTTTATTTATTTTCTGTCCAACGAATCGTCACATTATTGGCTAGTACCAATAGCTAACTACCTGTTTAGTATGTCGTGAAGACAAACCCTGTTTAAACCTACAATCAAGTCAAAATAATTATTAACTCATGATCTCTCATTAGATTGAAATTTGAAGATCAAATGGAACCGAAATGTGTTCTTGTGCGCCATTGTTCTTTGAATATTTACCGATCAATAATAATTTCAAATAAAACAATATGAGAAACTTGATTGTCGACTTCATTTTTTCCATATTGATAACGTTGAAGAAGTTCATTTATGTCAATATCGGTCGCAATTTTATCCGGAAATTTCCATGAATGACATCTATATAAATATTTTATTTCTAATCATATAATTTCTTTTTTTATTTTTATCTTACTTGATCGATCCTGTTTTGCCAATAATATCCTCAATAACATTTTGTAGATCATCAACATCAACACGTAAACTATCAATACATGCTTTACTTCCAAGAAGATGAGCCATTTTACGAATGAATTTGTTTTTAATCGAATCATTTATCCACCATGTTTAAATTAAATCCGTTGCTTAGCAACGATCTCACTTTATAAATATTGTTTTAAGTATTTTATATAATAATATTATAAAAACATAAATTCATTATAAAAAAAATATTTATTCTTAATTTTAAATATAAAAAATTCTTTTACCAATAGAAATTAAATCAATGAATCATCATGATGAAATATTCTAAATGCCCTACACTGCCTATATATATATATTTCTCAGACATACATTTTCCCATGCATTTGTAAAATACTTTTATTTTATTTTTTTGTTTCGTAATAATTTTTGATTGCATCATTCTTTAGACAAGAACAATAGATATGACGGACTCTACAAAACGTTCTTCTTCACAACAAAAACCATTAACAATAATAACAAATCAACGTGAAAAAATCAATAATGGTACAGTTGATACAGTTAATCCAAAAAGTCCATTAGAATTTACATGGACATTTTGGTATATTAAACCGGATAAACGGCTTACATGGGAACAATCATTAATTAATTTAATTGATATTGGTTTTGTTGAAGATTTTTGGGCAACATTTAATCATTTAGCAGCACCATCACGTCTTTCACAAAATAAATCAAATTCTGATTATTATTTTTTTAAAAAAGGAGGTAAGAATTTCATATTTCAATCTCTGATTAACCTATATAGATATTACAGATGGGATCAGTTCGTGTTTTTTTTCTTGCACTAAACTGATCCCATTTCTCTGATAGATATATAGAATTGTTTTTTTTAAGCCAGTACGATTTACATGAGAACATCTTATAAAACATGTCAATAAGTGTTTTCGAACTTATAATAGCTTGTGATAGATGAATGCCATTGAGTCTATTTCCTTTCTTAAGAGCATTGAATTCCTTCAGGCGTTCTGTTTTCTATTTACACATAGCTCTTTTATTTTAATAGCTTAAATGACCCATTGAATACTTGAATAGACTGTTTAATCTTAACAAATTCAAATTAAACCGATGCGTCAGTATATTAGAGGTGCGTAGTGCATGACACCGCTCGTCGGTTATGACATTTACCTACACAAGTCCTCCGCTATGAAAAATTTTCCACATAGACTCAACCACTCTGTGCCTTTCCCCTCGCCTGTCGTATTGAGTTATACCTCTAGCCAATATTGTACCTAAAAATTTTTTAAATAAATCTCATATGTTTTTATTTTTAATTTTAGTTCGTCCTATGTGGGGTAAATATTCATTTTATTTTGTTATTCTATTTATCATTTTGTTTTTTTTTTATAATGTAGAGGATAAGACAAATGCTAATGGTGGTCGATGGTTATTAACATGTGGAAATCAAGATACTAAACTTGATGAATTATGGTTAGAAACTTTACTTGGTATGATTGGTGATTGTTTCTCACATGATACGTATGTAATAGAACAAAAAAAAAACAATAAATTTATTTTCTATTATTTTATTATTAGTGATCCTGAACCACTTAGTCATTTTATAACCGGTTGTGTAGTTGCCATTCGTACACGTGGTCATAAGATAGCACTTTGGTTATCTGAAGCACATAATGAAACAATTGTTCGTGAAATAGGTCGTCGATGGAGATCGATTATGAATTTGTCACCAAATATTCGTATACAATTTGATATGCATAATGAAAGTAGTAATGGTTTACAACGACCAATGTATGAAGAATAAACAAAACCAAAAGAAAAAAAAAATAAAGATATATATTTATATTAGGTGAATTTCTTTTATCTATCTCATTTTTCTTTTGTCTCTCTAACATTTTGTGTTAATTATTTATTTCGGTTTTTTTTCTCTTTCATTTGTTTATTTAACACTTCTTGTTTTGTTGAGTCAAAAAAAAGATAGAGTTGGTTAAAAAGAAAAACAAAAATAGGTTTTTTTTTATTTGGAAATGTTTATTTACGAACAGTTGTTATGATGATATATATATATATATATATGTTCATTTAATTGAGAAGAAAAAGAAAAACTATTGTTAATCATAAGATGATTAATAAAAGAAAATTAATCAAGAAAATAAACAAGAATTAATTTTTTATTTCAATCTCTATTTCTCTCTTGATTATTGCTGTATTTGTTGGTTTTGTTGTTGTTGTTGTTGTTGTTGTTATTGTTGTTGTTTAAATAATAAGACGAATCTCATTACTATAGTCATCGAATTTTGGTTCATGATACTGGAAAAAACAAATGAAAAAAAAATAGAAAATAAAAAAAAATGATTTTATTTACTTTTGCTTACTTCATAAATGAGTTGAATATTAGATGAAATATTAAGTAGATCTTTAAATTTAATTCCAATTGATTTAATTAAATTTAAATCATCAATCTTTTTTAACCATAATGCTAATCGATCACCTTTGACACGTAATGAAACAACAGCACCATTGATATATGTACTCAAATTAGTACCGAACATATCGCCAATAAGAAGTAACATCTGAAGATTATAACGCATATGCTAGTAGTTTATCTCTTATCTTCTCACTATCAAGGCATATACGAAAGAGCCTATCGATTAAGAAGAATAACTATTATCAAATACTACTTAAGAAGGATCAATGAGAAAACTAAAATAGTTATTTAGTATCAAATGAATGTACTCATAATCTATTTCGAATCTAAAACTGCATCATTGCGAATAACTATTTAAAAGGACAAGGTGTAAAATCAAAATAGGATTATATTTGATCTTAGTTGACATTTCAAAAATTGTAAGATGTATTTTATTTACATTATGAATAATTTAATTCTTACCAAATGAAGCCAATAATTATCAAGATCATGTTTACGTCGTTTTGGATCAACTGTAAATATCCATTTACCACCACCGCGTGATGATACATCTTCCCACCTTTTCTTCTTTTAGATAAAAATAATTTAACAATAATTATTAAAATTACTTACATAGGAAGACAGCCAGACTATACATATAACAATAAAAAAATGAAATTATAAATTATTCTAAAAAATACTTCTCTACTAATCAATTATCAATCATAATTTTAGATAATCTTCTAATCGGAACAGTGTCCATTTCGTTCCGTTTCTAGTTCGGTCATGATTAGCCATTTAAAGAATTTAAAACTCTACATCTAACGGCACAATAATAAACCTTTCATAAAACAATTCTGGCTTTCAGGTGTTAATTTTGAACATTTTTCTTCTGAATAACATTATCATAAGCCTTGAAAAGGTCATGCAAGGATACAGCACAAGATTCTCTATATATTGATATTATACACATTACTTTTAACGCCAGATTTGATGAGCACAGGCTTACACAAAGTCTGTAGAAAATAGGACATCGTAGTTCGACGATCGAGTAGGCGTTCATATCTCGTCAATTTTGCACGAATAAGAAAAGCTTATTTGAAAAACAAGTTAGACAGTTTTTTTGAGCAAAAAATTCTCTATTGAATGAGGTTAGAACAGAGCATTTGAAATATGTAGTCATTCTTCAAAAGACAAAATAAAAAGGTCTCATTCTTTATGGACCATCTGTTATATATAAAGTGTCTGTGAATTATAAATATTGATAACTTTGGAATTATTTTCTTCTATATTAAATATCATAATGAATCAGTGTGATTGATAATATTAGGAACGAACTAAGAACTCATCGAATGGAATCGAAATAGAAATAAATCTTTTAATTGAAATATGAATCTGTCTATTACTTTGAAAAGCATATAATCGGATCCATTTGATAGATCTCGTAGACCATATGTATGAGTATAAAATGACCAAAAATCTTCAATATAACTAATAGATGTTATATAGATAACATTCTGTTTCCAATCGCGTTGTTTATCAGCCTTGTAAAAATAGGTACCCCAAGAATTTTTTAATTGTAATTTATCATCATTAGATTGTTGTTGTTGTTGTTGTTGATGATTCGGAAATTCGAGACGAGCAATCATTGACGAAGTAATATTATTAGAATATTCTTGTTTATTATCTTGAATATTTTCTGATTGAATTTTAGAATTATTGTTATTATTCATTTGTAAATTAATAATATTTGATGTTGTCATTGAAGAGAATTATGAAATAGAAGACGAAAGATTTTTTTTTTTTATTCAATAATGATCATCATTATGCAAAAGATAGAGATGATAATGAAGCAACAACAAGAACAATTTATTTTCTAGCTAAAATGATCGTTACATCAGACAATTTCGCGCCCATTGCTCACATTAATAAGACAATAGAAAGAAAAAAAAAACGAAAGAAAAACAACAATGTCTAGTATGATATTTCAATGAACTAATTTTTTCTTTAGTTATTTTCATTATGGTATGCCCTTCTATCTTCCTATGTGTCCAAATGGTTCTATAAAGTGTTGATGATGTGTGCATGAAGGAGAAATTTTTCTTTTACTAAGTTACAAAGATAACATATTGTATGTTCTTTGTGTTAGTATAGAAAGGTGATATATGAAGAACAAAAAATAATTGAAAAAATGAAGGTATAATGCCTCTTTTTTATTGCCATACACATTGTGTTTTTCTTTTGTTTGTTTGAAAGTGTAACAAAAATTTTACCAGATGTGTAACAAATAATAATAAAAAAAAATCATGGCAACAGAACCAATTGTTCCATCTCTATGGTTTGTAGAATCATCAGAAGATAGCCATACTACGGCTAGTAGATTAACACCAATTGATAATCGTTCAGCACTTTTATCGTATCCACATCGTTCATTATATAAAGCTGAAGTATTAATTAATGGACATTTAAAAAAAAATTGGAATACATGTTGGACAAAAGTTGTTGCTGTAAATGAATTAATTATTGGTTTACTTATATTTATTATTGGTATTCTTATTGTTCTTTTTCAATTATCACTTTCATCAACAGCTCATGGTATATGGACAGGTGCATTAGCATTCATTGCTGGACTATTTGCTTTTTTTACTATTATCTATCGTCGTCATCGATTTTTTCTTGTCGTTGCTAGTATTCATATTATAACTGGTTTAGCATCAACAATTTTAATTTTTATTTCCGTTTTTGCTATTGCATTACAAATGAATAATAAGAATTCAAATTCTACAATAAATATTAATGATCGTCAACTTAACTATGGTTTACATATTACACTTATTAGTTTAGGTATTTACGAAAAACTTTTATGTTATACATTCTTAATAATGATCATTCAACACACCCACAAGATAGTCTAATCATATATATGGACATGGATTGTTTTTTCTTATTGTGATTATTTATTATAGATGCTAAAACTGTTGCATTTTGTCATATGTATATATATATGTATATTTGTTCACTTTAAAATAATTGTATGCATTCAAAAATTAATGAATCTCTATTTGATTGTACAGTCATAGTTAATTAGTAATAGACTTCTCTTTATATTTATGGTAATTCTATCTCTACAATTATTCAAAATCAATGTTGTATATTTGAAGGGAAAAAAAGAAAGAAAAAGAAGAAATGACAAAATATGTTAAGCCTTTTGTTGGCTTACGGCCAATTGTGCAAATGTCAAAAGAAATCTTGAACAGAGTTAATTTTCTTGTTATTGTCATCGTTTCGTTTACGATAATATTAACGTTCGTACTAAAGATTTGTAGAATCTGAACGACATTGCATTCTATTTTTTTTCATCATTCTTTCCATCTTTCTCCGACAGATGCAGGAACAAAACGGATGCAATTATCCGTTTTTTTTTGTATGTGTATGTTTGATGAACATCCTTGAATGTAGTAAGAGTAAGAGAAAAAAAAGGATCGTTTTCCTTTGTTTACCGTCACTTTTCTCTTTTAAGTAAATACTATTGCCTTTCGCTTATGTATTATAGATAGTGCAGCTTTCGACGTCTTTTCTCGTCAATGAAAAGAAGATACATTGTTCTCAAGTATTCCTTTTATGCTCTCTAATCAAATTCTTCTCGTCAAAGCGAGTGATGGGCTTTCATTGCTTCTATTAACGGAAAATGCATGTGAACATGACGAAGCAAAAAAGAAACACGGAAGCTATACTCTTCTTTCAATGTCTAATTTTGACATCTAGCGTGCATGCCATGAAGAGAACGTGCTATAACGAAAAAACTCTATCGTCGTCGTCGTCGTCGTCGTCAATTAAATTTAACGCACTATGCGCACATATACACGTCCGAGATTGGTTTCAGGGCAGACGAAGCGCGAAGTAGAATAGTGACCGATATGATTAGACGACGACTTTTCTCCCTGGAGGGTTCTTGACGACAACTTAAAGCAAAAAAGATTAAAGTAAGTGGATGAATACTAGTATTTTGCATTTTAATAACTGTTTTAACGCTATTCCAATAAAGAAATGAGAGTGTTGTTACTATGATTTGATGTGTCGGATGATGTCCACTTGTATGCTGCATTAATGATTCAATTTTCTATATGCTACATACGCATAGTCATCACTTCAATAAATAGCATAACTTTGGCTTCCACGATTGATTTAGTACAGAGTCTGTTCGCTACACATACATACACGCACATAGACACACGCATATAATTCTCAGGAGACAGTTTCCTCTCGAGCATGAGCGCATACATCCGTGCACTACTATGCTATAGTACGATAGAGAGAGCAAGAGACCGGTGACATGTCATGAATGATGTTTAACAGAGGAAAGACTCTACTCACCATTATTTCGAAGCAAAAAAGAAAATGAACAATCATCATCATCGTCATCATCATCATAACTACCCGGGGTGGAACTCAGCAGCATAGTAAATATAGATAAAGAAAAACATAAGGACGATTTTTATTAGAAAATGAATAAGCATACTTATTCATCTTTTTTCCATTATGTAATCATCATCATCATCATCTTCTTCTTCTACGTCGTTTCTTTTCTTCTGTCGTACAATAATTACTGGTGACAATAGATTAATTTGAATGAATGCAAGATCCATATAACCTTTTCTTTTTTCTTTTTTTTTTGTCGTATAACGATCGAACAATGAAATTTACTTTCGATTTTAGAATTAATTTTTATTCATTCTTTAGTGTATTTATTCACGAAGATCATCTATCATCTAAACGATTTGTGATGTGTCTCCAATATTAATTGTTAGCAAACATTGACTTAATTTTCTATCGATACTTTTTTTTCCTGATTGCTTACAAATGAACGAGAGGACTTTTTCTTTTACGCGCTTATTCAAGAATAATCATAAATGCAACAGCATCGAGTTCTGTCGTTGTCGTTCTCACACTCTTAACATTTAGAAAAAGAGAAAGAGAGAAAGAACAAGAGAAAGATCTCGGCTTTGTTCCTCGCGGGTATTCCGCTTCTTTGTTTTCATTATTTACATAGTAAATGTGGAGCGCACATAGGACAGAGAGAAAAAGAGCTTGCGCATCGTCGGATTAAATTATTCATTAGAAAAAAAAGAAGATGAGAGAGTCTTGTCTTCACTATCGTTTCTATATAGATGAACTCAACTATTATTACATCATATATTGCATTTATGCGTAAGAATTAATATATAATGTCTGCTATACGAAAAAGAAATTCAATCATATTTTCTTTGATACAACATGTTAAAATTTAAGCATTGCATTTGGCATCTATTATCATTTGTATCATGTAATTATCAGAGAGAAGAGATTTATCGATAAAAACAGAATATGCATATAGAAAAAAAAAGAAAAAGAAGAAAAGCTCGTCAAAATATTGAACAATAAACGACAACATCTGACGATTAACGAACATTATTGTGCCTAGAAGGAGTATTGACAACTTGTTGTGTTGTTACTCATGTTGTATATATATTGTGTAGACGCATATATATCTATGATTAATCGTTTTTTATGCGCCCCCGACTACTTTGCCTTTCTTGTGCATCACGCAAGTGGCCTTGACTGCACTAGAAAATAATTACTAGTTCGATCGAAGCTTTGCAACGTTGTTCCACTTAATATTTTGTTTAGGATTTAGCTTGGCATATATGCCAATATGGTGCCCACATCCGTTGCAAACAATTGTTATTTTGTATGTATTTGATTAAATAAGTCATAAAATGAATAGGCGATGAAAGTAGAAAATTACTTACAATAATAATATCTGGTCATCGACAACAAAAACAAATGGAAGAGACAGAAACCAAAAAAAAGAAAAAGCTAAAGTGAATAAAAAAAACAATATTTTCTAGCAGGTGGTGTTAGGCCTCGGTTTTTTTTTGTGTCTTGAATAGAACTAAAAATTGCTTTCCTGATGACCAAAGGGATTTTATATTGACTTATATTTAAACCCATCTGTCTTGATTATACATATATAGACACATATGCTATTCATCCATATACTCATTTGTATTCATCTCCCTCTTTTTTATTTCAGATTAATTCTGTTATGTTGAACATTCATAACGTGATCTCTCAACGGGATCTTCTTTGTTCAAACAAAGACCGAATACACACACACACACACATATCTGCAAACATATATGCATGCTGTACAACAATGAGAAGAACAAGAGAAAAAAAAAGAAAAATTAAAAAAAATGAGACGGCCCGATGTCGTGCTGGAACGTTTTTTTCCCCTTTTCTTTTTCTTTCCTTTTCGTATTAGTTGAACTATCTGCTTTTGCCTTGGGTTTTCTTTCCTACACTTATTATATATCTTAAGCAATAACGAATAGTTTTCCTAGGACCATTGAACTGGAATAGCGTCATATACATATAACAGAAAGAAGAAAGAAAGAAAGAAAGAAGTCTTTTTCTCATCAATCCAATTTAATTTTATGAATGTAAGCAGGTGTCCATTTTCTTCATGCTTCCGGTAGATTGACTGGTGGTGAAATATTCCGTTTTTTTTTTTGCTTCTTATTTTTTTCTTTTAGTTGAGATAGTTCTTTTTCTATAAGCACTTGACCGAGAACGTGCGTGTACGTTCGTTGCATAAAGAAAGCTAAAGAAAGAGGGAGGGAGAGAAAGGGGGCGCAAAAAAATGGAGAGACAGAGCGAGAGCGAGAGAGAGAGAGAAAGAAAAGATACGAACGTACTCTGCCTCTCTCTCTTGTCATCACCCTCATTCGACCATTCAACTACTTACGCGGAAGTCGGAAGAAGAACAAGAGAGAGAGAGAAAGACAGAAATATTGAGAAAAAAAAAGTTTCACAGGATTGGAATTATAGCCGTCTGAAACAACAACAACAACAACTGCAGTGCGCAAAAACACAATGCAGAATTGTGGAATTACGAAAGCGATAAACAGACATTAGTTAAAGTAACCAATACTAAACGAACAACGACAATAATAAAACAAAGAACGATCGGTATGGAATGTTATTTTATATTTTTGGAAAAATGCCAAGATTTAAGCAATGTTCCTTCTTTTTTCTCCTTTTCACAGATCTATAGATTAGACACACTCTATGGGGCGAAAACTAAAGATAGATTCTTCTTCTTCGTCTTTTTTTTTCTTTGCTTTACAGACGAGTTATCCGACCGTAAATTAATCTGTAAATGGTTTACATCGCTCTGTGCTCTATATATATAAATATATGTATGTGTACAATGTATATATCATTGTCTATCAAAGAAAATTCCTTGTTGTTTGTTGTTTTACATAAGTTAATGGTAAGATTATATTTATTTGTTTTTTTGTTTTTTTCTTTCTTAGATCAAAAATAAATATGTTTTTCATATCAATTATCTTTCTAACTATTATTAATCCTTCAATACAATCAGGTCAACCATCATTAAAATTAACATTTGTTCCTGATGAAACATATTTTACAAATGGTCATCATGTTGATATTCTATGTGAATTACTTAATCCAAATGAACATACAGAATCACCACAATTATGGCATGTTGATTTAAAAACTGGTAAACATACACCAATATCACGTTTATTAGTAAATTCACCAACAAATGAAGCACCAGATATATTTAAACGAAATTCTAATAAACGTATAGAATTTCTTAAAAAAAATCATATACGTATAAAAAACTTACTATTAGAAGATTCATCACGATACGCATGTAATTGTCCTGATTGTGAACAACAATTAGAAGAACAAAACAAACTTTTACAAATTATGAAACTAGTTGAACCTATATGGTATATTGAACCTGGTTGGCCAATGCAAGAAAATGCTAAAACAACAATAAGATGTATAGCTAATGATTTTTATCCATATGTAAATTATAAAATAATTCAGAATCATCATGAAATCAATCAACTAGGTAAAAGTGTAACACCAACTACAGATTTATTTCCACAAAAATTCTCTTGGGAAGCAACTGTTATGCCAACAGCTGATTGGCATAATCAAACATTACGATGTACAGTTACTCAAGGTTTGTTTGTTTTTTTTTCTTTTGATACAAAAAAATAAAGAAATTATTCTATTCTTTATAAAAATAGGTAATACAGAACAACATGCAACAAAAGTTCTTGATGTTTTATTTACTCCACGTTTTCTTAAATGTGAGGAAAAACAATATGTTAATTCAACAAAAGAAAATGCAACAATTGAATGTTCATATTCAGGAAATCCAGCACCAACATTAACATGGTTTCGTCAAATAGATGAAAAACCTATTAAACCTGAAACAGGTATTACTATTGAAACAAAAGATGAACATCATGGTAAATATAAAAGTATTGTTATATTTGATCGTGAAAAATTAATATCTATGCCATCAACAACAACATTAACAACAACAACAATAAAATCTTCTAATGGAAAATCAGATTTAATAAATAAACCAAAAGCTATTGCAGGAGATAATTATTATCAACAATTATTAAATGATGGCTTTATTGTTAAATTAACACATAATGATGAAGTAAAAGGTTTTCATAAAATTACCATAGTTAGTGATATAAATGAAGTACGATCAACTAAACTTGATAATTCATCAATTAAAACGATACAAAATCTTTCAACATCTATTATCTTATTATCATTTTTAACTGTTCTCTATATGATACAATATCATTAAAAGAACTAAAATCAACAAACAAATTTTTCTTTTTGTTCATTTTACAATTACATATATATATATATACATGCATAAATATTCGTTCTACTTCAACTTTCTAGTCTCTCGTATTTTTCTACTAATTGTTTGTTTTTTTCCTTTTCTTCACTTTCGTGCCCTGTTTACTCGGGTTTATTTACATCGATTTGGTATGAAACAAAAGAGAGTATCTGGACGCGGACATTATATACATATTATTATTTGTGCAAATCGTCTCGAACAGTGTTCGTTGTGCAACATAGAAATACAAAAAAAAAACCAAAACTAATTTAATATTTGTTTATTGTTGTCTTGTATACGTAAATGTCTAATATTTGCCTGGCTATTTGTTTTTTTTTCTTTTTGTACAAGTTTCTCGTTCTAATTTACATGATTTTCTTTTTATTGCCAAGACAATCGATCGAACAACAATATTTCTTAGTAGAGACATGCCGTCGGATGTGAACTAGCTTGCATTTCACACTCGGCTAGCTGCCGGTGTGCGTGTGGAATTACTTTTTCTTCTTTTTTTTTAAGCTCGTGTCGCATCTAAATCGGACAGTGGTCTAGAAAAGCACTTATCGTCTTTGATGATAATGATAAGAAATGAGTTCACATCCGAATTGCTGAAGTAACACGTCTTAATTGATTTTTTTTTCTCAATTTAGCAATCACCCATAGTGAAAAAGTTTTTATCATTTATTAAAAAAAAAATGTGATCGCAGATGGACAAAAGATCATGTTGCGAATATAAATGAGTTATTGACATCTGTCACATCTGGAAGCTCTTTCTTTTTTATTATTTGAATTAAATTTTAAAATTTTCTGTTGTTGTTTTTTTTCTTTTTTGATAAATATGTAGATGATTATAATCTAATCCCAATGCGATATTATTCATTGATGCTTATCACAAGTAGAATCGATTGAACTACAGGGAATTATTGTTAACATATAAGAAAAAAAACAAGGATAGAATCAGTTATTATATTATAGAGAAGTTAATAAAAAACAAAAAAATTTTGTTTTTATTGACAAGTCTGATAGTCAAACAATTCGTCAACATCAATGTAAACGTTTTTAAAAAAGAGTATTGAATGAGAAGATTATATTTTTATGTAAATACATACAAGTGACATTGAATGTCGCTTTGAATAATTATTTTCATCGTCGTTCATCTTAATGACAGATTACTAAGCAGATGCGTAAATGTAAGGTTAAATGAATTTTTATAAATGCTTTCAACAAACAAATCAAACAAAAAAAAAAAAAGAAGCTTTTTCTACTAAGGATAAAGAAGCAGATGATATGCAAAATAAGTTTTTATTTTTAGAAAATATATATTCATAGAAGTTAAGCTCATCTAATTGAATAGCATCTGTTCTCTTATCAAATTGTTTTCTTTTGAAGTTTTGCTTGAACTATATTGAAGATGATGAGTGACTAGTCATTTTTATATGTTCTTGTCTGAGAAGACATCATATCTTCTATATTATTTCTGATCATCGAAATGATTTCCCATGAGAGATAAAAATGAGAGCATCATTGGATCGATATGGCAAAAAAAAATGAAATGAATGGTTATTGCGTTCACATTGTAATCCATCATCTGACCAGTACATTTGGTTAATTGAATAATATAATATTCTTTCTGAGACACTGTACTAATTTCTTCAATTAAAATTTTTTCAATATTTTATATATGATCATTAATTACAATTAGAGATTAAAATAAATTATGGAAATATTTTTAGATATTCAAACTGAATGAACTTTTTTTTTTTTTATATAGAAAAATACTTCATTGTTCATTTATTCTTAATCCATTTCGATGATAAAGTAAATTTAATCTTTCTTCCGTTTCTATAATTATAATTTCTAAATTTCTTTTTTCTTCTTTTTTTGTAATAAGAAAGCAGGAAACTTTTCTGACTATAAGATTAAATACGACATTATTAATTATTTTCTTGAGATGGTCTTTATGAAAAGACAGAAACTAAAAGTCCCTATTGTATTTTATGATGCTTTTGTTTTGAACAAAAAAGAAAAAAACCTCTCTCGATATATATATATAATACCATTGATTGTGTTTATAAGTTCTTCTCCTTCTAAGACTAACTTTTGGTATTTATAATTAATTACTTATATTAACGAACACATGTGTAAAAATATTTTTTTTTTCTGAATAATAATTACATGAAAAAAAAATTGTATCAGGAAATAGCTTAGACTACTTAATTACATGTAATTGTATACATGAACATTACAATCAATAAGATAAGAAGAAAAAGAATCGTATTTGTAGAACAATTTTCTATAATTGAGAAAATTGTATAAATTAAATAAGTAGTGCAAACTCAAATCAATATTTAATGCATATAGTACTGCTTAGTTATGTACAAACAATATATATCTTAATTATTTCTTTATTGATATTTTAAATTAAGTAAATCTTAGAAAATGTTTACTATACATAAACTTCAATAAGCATGAAAATTTGACGATTTTGAATATCTTCAATTATATCATATATAATTAACATGTTATTTTAGGTACATACAGTCATTGTGTTTTACAAAAGAAAAAAAAGAAAAGCAATGTTCGATTTCACTATTGATTTAAATAGAAAATAAAATTCATTGACATATTGTTTAGCAAATTTTTTTATGCAATCACAGTTATTTCTATTATTTTAAATTAATATATATTTATTAATTTCTTGTGACACATTCTTGATGCATAAAAATCAAGTGTTATTTTATTTCTAACATCTATATAAAACTTGCCCTCTCGCATCTTTTTATAGGTATGAATTAAATAGTGTGACTAATGTTTTGACATAATTGATAATGATGTAAATAGTTATCAACAAAAGAGCGCAATAAAACATTTAACTATCACTTGTTTCATATTGCAAAAAAAAAAAAGATCTTGCATACAAAAGACCTTGTCTATAAGATAGATCAGTAACTCTTGATATGAACTATCAATATCAAGGTAAAAAAAGCCAAATGTTACACTTCATTGATTATTAACACTTCCTTATGTATGTATTTCAATTGATGAATAAAAGAAAGAACAAATAGTCAGTTGAAAAAAAAAAAGAATCACCGTACTAATAGTTCTAGTAATTTTCATTTGTCATCATTGACATTTATTTGATACAAAACTGATATCTCTTAATTAAAATACGAAGAAATAATAATGTCTTCACTATCTTATGATGAAAATGAATTTTCTCATCGACAAGGAAGTATTACATCGGTTGTTGACGAAGAAGAAATAACAACTGCTAGTGACGTACCAATAAGACGACAAAATCAAGATTTAGCATCAGAACAACGTTTATCATCATCATCATTTTCAAATGATTATTTAAAAGTACCAAATATTGATGATACTCAATCAACTAATATTGAAAAAGAATCTCAAATGGCAACTATGAATTTTCAAACTGGACCTGATATAAGTATTGAAGATAATACAATACCAAGTTGGAAACATTTATCAAATAATATATCAATAGATGATCAACATTATCGAAATATGTCACAATCAGATTCAATGGATGAAATTACAGTAAGTTTTGGCTTTCAACATCAAGATGATATTGAAAATAGAGAACGATTAAAACAAAATTCAACTGAAGAAATAGATCCTACAATTGATTATGAAACATTGGTTCGCTCAAGAAAACTTTATGTTGATCCGAATCCAGAATACATACGAAAACCACAAATGATTTCTCCACTTACATATAAACAAAATATAAGAATTAAATTTTTAAAACCACCACCTGTTCCACAAGGACCTTTAATTATTCGTGAAGTTCGTCCACCTCAACCTCCACCACCACCACCTCTCGTATGTTAAAATCTTTATCTACAAAAAAAAAAAAAAACAAAAATCTTTATTTTCATAAAAGATTATTCGTCAACGTCCTATACCTCCTGTTTCACAACCACCCATTATTCTTCGTGAAAAACCTCCACAAGTACCGAAGACTATAACAAGTAAATTAGAGGTTTCTTTTCGTTTATTAAAACAATATTTTCATTATTTAATTAGCACAAGTTTTAACAAAAACTCTTCCACCTGTTACACCTCCACCACGTTCAATTATTATTGAAAGAGTACCTTCATTGCCACCTAAACCACCTGATGTTATCATCGAACGTTGGATACCTTATGAAGCTCTGACACAAAAACGTAAAGTTATTGTTCAACGATGTGAAGAACCAAAGCCATATCCACCACCAAAAAATGTTATCGTTACGTAATTAAAAAAAGAAACTTCCTTCTCTGATATTTTCTATATTTCAACTATTTAAGATATGATCAAATTCAAGTAAAAGTTGTTCGCCAATTTGAACGACTTGGTATTTCACCGGAAGATCCTGAAAAATATTCAGCACGTTATGGAAATACTTTACTTGATCCAAAAGATTTATTAGCACAAGTAAAAGAACTTGGTATTACAGAAGATCTTGTATGTCATGTTTGTTTTTTGGATTTTAAATAAGAATAATTATATTATATTTAATTTAGTCACCACCACTTTTAGCTGATCGTGAAATAATAAAACAATTAACAACTAATCCATTTGATCAAGTTAAATTTGATAAAAGTTTTTCAGGTAATAATACAACGGATAAAGCTATTTATAGCGATATAGATAATAGTACTTACACTCCTACATATGAAAATCTTGTCGATGGATCATCATCATCGATGAGTCATAATGAATGGAGTGAACATTCGATCGACCAAGAAAGTATGACGTATTTGTTTTGACAGAAGTTTTTATAAATATTTTTCTTTTTTATTTGTTAGATAATACGAAAGATATATATGCTCAATTAGCTCAATATGGCTTAACGAAAGAACCAAATTCATATTAAAATAAAAGATGATATTTTTCCTTTTTCCTTTTTTTTTTTTTTTGTAATTTTAATAGATTAGTTATTGAATTAATTTTTGTTTATGTATTTTATTATTGAACAAATATTTTTAATGATTAGGAAAAAAAAGATAAGATCAGATATTGGTCTTATTTTGTTTTTCTTTTAGGAATTGTTTCCTATTTTTGTTTGCAATAAAATATTTAGAAAAGAAAATCTTTTTTTGTTTGTTTGTTTGCAAAAATTCAAAAAAAACGGATCTCCTACAAATGATTAATGAATACTTTCGAAGAAGAAAAAACATGCTAGTACAATCCCTATGGGATCAAAATGTGACATACTAGAGAGCTGTTGGTAATGTAAAAGTGAAGATTAATCAATATATGTTACAGTTTTATGAATTCCTACCTACTGTTAATGCATGTCGATGATGAAAGATATTAATCGCAATATATATTACAGTGAGTGTGAACGAAAAGTAAAGGACAACTGTCATTTTAATTCTACAATGAACCTCGACTTCGCGGTTATGTATATTACGTTGAAGAGGCCTTGGTAAGGTGTCTGTCATGTCTGTAGGGGATCTCCGTGTACTTCAACACTCCTTTTAAATCGTCTTTCAAAAAAAAAATAGCATCCATTCAATTTAACGCTTTTACATATAAGAATAACATGTTTACAATGTACTATAGTCATATTATTTTCCATACTCATTTCTGACATATTAATTTTTTTTCCTTTTTTTTATTTACTAATAACTTAATAGTGATCAGCTATCTTTTTAATGGATTACAAAATGTTCACACATATACAACAGAAATGTAATATATAGATGATAAGTAAAGACTACGGAGAAATAGTAATATAACATTCAAATAAGCTTTTTTGCAAATTTTATTCAGTTCTATTAAACATCGCTATGTAACTACTGGGAATCAAATCAATAAATCAAGAATTCTTGTTTTATAATACAAAGACAATATGACAAGATAGATATATAAGTCTATCAACACGTTAAGAAAACTGAAAAATATCCAATTGAGACATTTCCTTCATTGGAATGCTTTTTTTAACGTCATCTATACTTACAATTCTTTTGATAATTAACCATAAGGATTCCATATTTTTTTTCCATACAATCTGTAAATGGATGATATATTATGTCATCTTATATCTTGCTATTCTATCAGTATACATATGATTGGAGAATAGGAAAAAGAAAACATATTCGTATTGTTCCAAGATTGTTGTTTTTTTTCTCAATTCCAAGGACTATTAATTATGGCTAAAATAAAAATTTGTTATTTAAATGTATATGAAAGTCATTTATTTCCTTTAACAACTCTATTGAATGAACATAATGAATCACTTGAAATTTGTCAAACAAAAATTGGTTCTGTTGGTAGTTGGTGTTGGGAATCAGCAATATGTTTAGCTGAATATTGTTATGATCATATGTTTAATCAATTTAAAAATAAACGTATTGTTGAAATTGGTAGTGGTACAGGTATTGTTGGACTACAATTATGTGCATTAGGTGGAAATGTTACTTTAACTGATCGTGAAGAATATCTTGAATTAATTAATTATAATATTAAAAAAAATCAACAGGTTCTTACAGGACAAGCACAAGCTAGAACATTATTTTGGGGTGATGAATTAAATGAAAATGATGATTGTTTTCAAAATCTTGATTTTGTTATTGTTGCTAATTGTGTATATCATTCAATTGAATTAGATGAATTAATAAAAACAATATGTAATTTATGTCCAGAAAATTCTCAAACATGTTTATTATGTTGTTATGAATTACGTAGTGATGGTATTCGTCGATTAGTAAATGAATTTCATCAAAAATTAATTGAAAAAAAATTTTCTATTCAATATATTGAAAACAAAGATTTTCGTGAAAAATATCAAAATGATTATAATGCAATAGTTAAATGTCAACGATAAAAACTTTATTAAATATGAAATTTTCGTAGGAAGTAATTGATAATGATTTTTGATATAAGGCTTTATCAATAGCTGATTTCCATTGGGATCTATCTATAATAAAGTAGATTTATGCCAATGTTAATCAGATGAATTTGTTAACTTGTTGTTTTAAAAGAAATAAAAATTACTTTCAAAAATTCTTAAGCAACCCCTACCTATCATTCTCAATTCATGCATATGATATCAATGAATCAATTGCAACACAAATATTGAAATTATTTTTATAGTTTTCGATGTCGATGGATCTAGTTGGCAGACTATTGATCTTTATTTTTTTTTCTAACTTTGATTAGCCTTTTCCTATGGATTTTAATTGCATCCTATGGAGGATGTACATTAAAGTTTTGTTTAGGACAGAGATAGATTTCATATTAATATTTTAATTCTTGCTAATATATTGCATTACAAAGAATAAGAAAATTCGCTACTTAGATTTTTTTTGACTTCATCCTAAACGGTGATCTTCAGGTCTAGTCATGTCTTCGATAAATAACTATTAACAGATGATGGGAAATATGGATTTAGAAATTTTGTTTGAGAGTAATGGAAGAATCTTTGCAAAACTCAGAAAATTAGTTCGAACGGAACTTGTGTGTCGATGTTTCCGGTGAACATGTTTCTTAACGTATTTTTGAGACGAACCAAAAACTATAAATCGCTACCAAAATTTGAACATGAACGAGAAATGTTGTGTCTATTTTTGTGAGACTTTTTGAAAGACCTGACAAATGACTTAGCCAGCAGGTTTTTGTTTACCCTGTAAGTCTCTTTTCAAACATTCAAAAAATTATCGTAGTTAGTCGTTTTATAGAATGAACACTGCTCTACAATATGTGATATTGAATTATGCTATAGCTTTGGACCCAAGCATTTGTTCAAGAACTCCCTTCAACATAAAATAGTTGTCGATTTTTTCAAAAATCAGTATTTAAGAAAAATGAAAATTGAGGTATCTTGTCGAAAGACAAAAAAAGGTCTTCAAATAATGTATTTTGTAAAAAAGCTTCTAATCTACAAGTTGATATAAAGATTCTAACTTTTAGTTTCGAATCGCAATAAGTAAAAATACAAAAAATTTTTAGTCTGAACTAATTTTTTGGACTTTTCAAAAATCATTTCACTACTCTTGAACAAAATTTTTTTCGTCATTACTCGAAAATAGCACAAAATCATAACTTTAGACTCGTCTGAAATACGTCAAAACTAAACAAACATTTTGTCTAAAAAATTTCCGATCGCCCAACATATGAATTGTGTACATATGGAATAAATTTCTTCATTTTCATTTTTCGCGCGTCATATTGTGTTGGTATAGAATTAAATAATAAGTTTTTCGTTATTCAAGTATTCCAATTAAATCAATAGTTAGTCAAAGAAAAAAAAACCGTCGTTATTTATTTTTTCGACAGATTTTACTAAAATTTTTACATTTACTCTTGTAATTGATTCGTTAGTACTTCAAATTCTATCTAAATTAATAATTAAAGGTTCACTAGATGTCTTTAGAAAAAAGCTTGAAATCATAATTTTGTTCTCTCAATATTCTTTACAAAACTATCAAAGTCCAGTCTATTACAATTGTATTAGTACACATAAACTCGTTCAAAAGTGACAAGCTTTGATAAAATCAATTTCTTCCAAGTCCATTAGATCCATTAACTCTAGCCCAAGGCACTTCTTCGGCCTTACACAATCCATTGATCACAATGTCTTTTTTTATGTATAATTTCGCCTTGATACTTCGCTATTACATCGTGCACATTATAATGAATAGTTGTTAAGACTGGAATTGATTGTCTAACTACATTAACACTCTCATAAATTATCACTATTTCTCGAATATTTATTTAACATTGATGTAATAATTCGGGATCTAAATAACTTAATTGAAGATAAATATGATGTTGATCTTTACTAACATAGTTATTAGATAGAAATCAAGATTACATAAATATATAAAAGAATATAAAATATACCAAACGATGCTTCACTAATTTCAACTGTTATTGTTCGTGATATACACGTATAAAACATCCGTTTTATGAACATTGTCATGTTCAATTTGCATCATATGCGTGCAAATGCATCAAAAATTTCATCACTATGATTGGAGAGCATATTCAATAATATTAATCAAATAGAAAGTATAAGGATAAAGGTTCATTTTTTTCAAGTTTAATTAGAATATGTTATGGATCGATACATATTCAAAAATTTATTTTAATAGATTATTATTTAAAATATTGATTAAATTATAAGAAAATTATGTATGATAAAAAAAAAACTTCACTATTCAATTCACTCATAGATATCATCAAAATTATATTCCATAGAAAAAAAAAGTAATCATTATAAAACTAAATAAATATAATAATCTTAATCAAAAATAAATTATAAATTTTAATTCTCAACTAACAAAAATAAGAAGTTAACTGTGCTATTTAGTTTCTTCATTTTTTTCTTCATCATTTATTTCCCATACACGTGCAACAACTTCTTGTAAATAATCTGTAAAAGCAAGATATTTGCCTCTTAACCATACTAATGAACGATATCGATTCGAGTTTGTTTTGCTTGTACATGGTGGTCGCATTGGTCGTAAGTTATCTGCATTTGAATCACTGGTTAGTGCTGTCCATGTCCATGTTTGTCCACTATCATTTGTATTACCACAAAAAAGTTCATAATGACGTTGTCCATCATTACGACTAATAAGTGGTTTTCCTGTTAATGGATCACTATTTGTCGATATATAAACTATCGATGTATTATCAGGTTCAATTGCAGCCAAACCAGTATAATCATCTTCACCAGCATAGAGACGGCAACCAGCATAGGCAAGTAAATAATTATGCCATATAGAACCATCCCATCGTGCATAAAAATATCGTAAATCATCACCGCCTTGACCTACGGGAAGATCTGCTGAATTATATTGAACACTATAAATACATACTGGATAATCATTATTATCTAAGACAACATCAACAATCCATGCAACATGTTGTGGATCACCACGAAATATTTGTGTACCTCGATCTGGTGAATCGAGTCCAACTTGTAATGAACATATCTTTGTACCATTCGATTGATATAATTGTCCAGCTCGATAATAAATATGATATAAACTATTATCATAATTACGTGGATGTCCTTCTGTATATACCATATGTATTGTATCACGTTCATTTGATGTATATCGTACATAGGGTCGATGTCTTTCTATTGTCGGAACATTTATATAAATATTACCATTATGCCAAGTTGTTCCAAGATCATCTGAATAAAGATATGATGGTTTATCGGAACCATCAAGACCTCGAAAAAAATTATAAATACGATTTGATTCATTTGGAAGAAGAAATAAATTTGCATATGTAAGTTCAGTAGTTGGTGATGGTGTATAAATTTGAACTGGACTAAATTGATGAAAAGTATTTTCATTAAGAAGAGAAATACGTGAGTAATTATGTGGTTCTGTACGATGTTTTGCATAAAAAATAAGTAATCGACCATTAGGTCTTATAAGTAGAGCAGGTCCATTATGATCATCTAATTCAAATTGTTCATGTAATATCACATGATCTGTAATATGAGTCGAACAATCATGAATATGAAGTTCAATATTACCATGACGGTTTTTATCATGACCACCTGATGCAACTGATCCTACTAAAAGAAGAGAACCATGTTGAAGAGCACCTGGATATTCAAACCAACACCATCCACCATCATCACTTAATATGAATGTTTCACTTGTATGAACATCAATGTTTCTTGTTATATTCTTTGACATTACCGATTTTTATGTCCCTACAATAATATCCATATTATTGCTAACCAACAAAGGAAATACAACTTTTTTATTTTAGAAAAATAAGTCGAAAGCGTGAGAGAAAAACTTTAAAAAGAATTTCAAAGAATCGAATAGAACTCAAAGCAACTAAAAGCTGTTTAGAACTACAAAAAGATTGTTTATATCTTTTCAAGAAAGCACAGACACGATTTTAATTATCAGATAATTCTATACTAGGATCTTTTCCGATGGGTAAATCTTCATTAACTTCAGTGAATCCTGGTTTTTTCCTGTTCCAAACAGAATACCAAATTTTTTTATTCTAATAGAACTTGTTGTTGATCTTTTATTGATAAATATTTTTATTTTCAACACACATCTCAATAGATGACAAAACGAAGTTGTTAAGTTAACTATAACACGATCATCAAAATTTGTTAACTTTAAAAAATCAATTTATGATGATTTGAAGAATATATTATTAGTGAAAATATAATTAAAAACCTAACTTCACAATATCAAATTTTATCTACGACGAAAGATTGCTTCATTAAACATACAAAATTTTCGTATTGAATAATTACAAAAATACTTTTTTCGTATTAGATACTAAGGATAGAAAAAAACTGATGCTGTCTTTAACTAAATAGTTGTATAACTATTTAACCCGAAAATAATGAATTTTTTTCAATAAACAACATTACTTTATCATACTAAAAAGACAAACAAAACGAACTCACTCAAACTTGTTGAAGAGACAAATATTTTGCGTTAGGAACAAGTGTGTAAACGTGCACCTTGGTTTAAGCTTGGTTGAAATATGGATGAATCATGAAAAAAAGAACAAAAGTGAGATGTGTCTCAGTCTTACCACTTGCATCACTACAATCAACGTGATCTTTCTGTTTTTTCCTGTTGATCGTAGCAATCCAAGTGGTAACACTACCTATGTTTAGTGTGAGAACACAAAAAAAAATTATTCCTAGTGCAGTATATTTTTGAGCACTACCGACTCTTCTGATAAATCTCTCTGGTATTGGAAACAGGAACTTAAGCGAGATATTGAAATGAATGAGTATTTTAGTAATGTGTAAGACATTTTTCATTTTACTTATCATAGTACACTTTCATTAAAAACGGAAACAACTTCTCTTTACCATCGTTGCGTTTTTCCCTACAAAAAAGCAATCTGCAAGAGTAAAATTTCCTATAAATATTGGATATATTTCTCATTGTACACAATGGTTTCTTTTAGAACACACTGATTCGTTCATTTCTAAAAATACATTCAAGTATTTGAAATGGTTCAAACAAAATTTCATATTTGTGCATTTCATTATACTTTGACAGTGTTGAGTGTTTGGTTCACTTTAAAATCAAAATTGTTCTTGTATAAACTCAATCCTGCTAAATCTGTTTTTCAAGTCGACTGATATGAACAGCCGTGATGTATTTTGATATATTATGAGCTGAAAACTTGACAACTGGTCATATGCTAACGGTTATATTAAGTGCAGCATCATGATATCTACACCATAGTTATTTTCACGATTGTGTAAGCTAGCCGTGCATTCAAGTAAATAACGATTAAATTTTATGTATTAATCTTTTATAGAAGTGACCAAAAAAGCGTACAAAAAATTTTGTTTCAGAATAATTATATAGAAAAATTTAATTTGATGTTATCTCTATCTCAACATTATTGTAAAACAGTGTTTTTATCGTAAAAAAGAGAGTGAACAATGAATATGAGCCGAACATAGATGAATGTCAGATTGTACTTCTTCAATTGAATACCAAACTACTCATGCTTCCAAGTTACGAATATTCTCTTCCGTCCTAATAATGTCCTCATGAGTAGGTGGCAAAATTTTGCGCTTAATCTTGATCGATTTTTTGAAGTATTCCAGTGCTTTTGAATAATTGTTTTTACGTTTATATAATAATCCTAAGTTATTGTAGGTTTTAGCAGTGTCTAGATGATTACTAGGTAAGACTTTTTGTCGAATCTCGAGAGATTTGGCATAATAATCTAGACTCAAATCATTTTCTTCCATCATATAGTATGTAGACGCTATGCTATTATAAGTCTCAGCGAGAGCAAGAGAATCAGATGGAAGTGTTGCTTCTTGAATTTCGATTGCTTTTTTCAAGTTGGACAACGCTTGATTGTAATCTTTTCTCAAGGACCAGCATAGACGTCCAATCCAAGTATGACACTCTCCAACGTCTGCATGGCCTTGTCCCAAAAGACGTTGCCTTATTTTCAGTGCTTCTTCGAGATGTTTAAGACTTTCATCAGCCTTCTTGCATGCACTACAGACTTTACCTAAACCTAATTCTGCGTTTCCACTAGCAAGTTGAGTCTCATCCAGCATTCTTCTATAGCATTTTTCTGCTTGTTCGTATTCACCCATCTTGTATAAAATTTTTCCAAGAGAATCCAGATCAGTATCGTCACCAATTGTGTTTTTCATGTAAGAAAATGTTTCTTTCAAATGATAATCATCTTCATTTGCTAATGATACATGAACCATCCATATTCCTTCCTTTTTATCTTCATTTACTTTTTCAATTCGAAACAATGCACCAAGCATAATCAGTACTTCATCTTCATTTTGATAATAACTGACTTGAGTAACGTCAGCAAAAGCTTTCGTTTGTAAACGTGGGTTAATTTCAATTTCGAAAATAATTTGTTGAAAACCATCGGTTTTAGGAGTAGATCGAGCAAAATGAAGAGCAGTAGATCGATCACGACTTGACGACAAAAAAGAATTCATTGAAAGAAATTTGCCAATGCTTTTCTTCATCAATTCAAGTTCATCATTTCCAGTTATTTGACCACGGTAAACACAAATCATATTTCGATTGTCACTAGTACGAATAAATTTTTCATGTTCACTTTTGATCTGTTTAGCAATATCAGTAATAAAAAATCGAAGAGCAAATAACATATCAAAGTCTTGTACACGTAATGCTTTATTCATCATTCGATAAAAACATGATTCGCGTGTATACCACCGTATGGCATTTTCTGCTTTATAATTCTTTTCAAATTCATCAATAATTTTCATTTCTTGCTGATTACCCTTATAACTATTTTTGCAAATATCCAAAAGTTCCTTACGATCATTGAATTTATGATGCATACGAAGAAGAACTTCAATAAACAATTGAAACCACATAAAGATAGCATTTCGAGCTTGAAGAGATTGCGAACCAGATGTAATTACTGATATGGAAGCACCATCTTCTACTTTACTTCTACTAATTTGATCTTTGGATATTTTAGCAACAAGCTTAGCACGTTCAACAAAAACGCCATTCACCTGAAATATTTAAGTGTAAAAAAGAAAGAATCCGATCGTTATAAAATTTTTGACCTTATGATATTTATTAGCCCATTGCTCGTTTGCTTTTTGATCTTGACAAAAGATATAACATGCAGAAAATTGTGGAAGATCATGAAGTCGAGGTATAAATTCTCGACCTAATGAACCTGATATAATGAGAACAACTTTTTCTTTTGTAATTTGTCGAATATATTGTTCACATTCATCACTATTATTAAATATTCGAAGATGATTGATCACTTGACGAAGTTCCTTCTGAGTTTCAAGAGTATCTTTTGTTGAATTAATATTGTGATCTAGCCATAAACATGCGAAAGACTCAAAATTAGAATTCATTGATTGATCAACAGATTTCGTTGAACTTGATATTTTAGTCGATTGGTTTTTGCTGGTAGCCATTGAAATGAAACACAAATACTTGGAAAAATAAAGTCTTACTCGTACACTTCTATTTATTTTTCTTTCAGTTGTGAAAGAATATACTGTTGTATGTGCTCGCTTAAATTTAATCTCAACTGAAGCATTTTTCATGTTTTTTTCTTTCACACAACAGTCGAAAAAATTCTCCACACACATACTGACACCCACCACGTGAGCGATAACAACAAGAACCAACGGTTCTTCCGAGGAAAAAGAAGAGAGTAACGACCAAGATGAATCGTAAAATTGATCATGGACTGTTAATATTATCTGATCCATTATAAAGACACTGTTTTCAAGAAGAGAGAAATAATATAAGGAATTGTTACAACAAATATTGAAAGCTAGGTGTATGAATAAAAAACAAAACAGATACAACGAAATACCTTTAGATAAGAAAGAAATATAATTAGACATTTGCATTGAAGAACAAATAGACAATGGTAGATCATTGACTTTATCGTTCAGGGCTAAAATGTGGGTAATAGAAATTAAAATATTTATTAAGGATTGTTCTTGAACATCAACATTATCATAAATAGTAACAAAATGTTAAACCAATCTAAACAAGTGTCGGAATCCTCGTTGAGTACGATAAGGATTAATTACATTATCAATAAGCATTGTAAAAGAATTATTCTGATTAACAGAAGTCAATATTCTGCTTCGAAAACTTATTTGAGAATCTATTGCAAAAATAACTCAATGCATAGTTTTATGCAAAGCAATGGAACTTATTACTCTACGATCAACAAAAATCGTATATTTTTCTTTGTATTCGTCTACATATCGAAATTGAAAAACTAAAATCTTGATGTCATTTGTAACTCAAAATATTTATAAGATGTCATAATTGCTATTAAATTATTTAAATGGTTTACAAGTTAATTTTAAAAATAAAATCTTCTAAATTATCTTATACCAAATATCCGTGGGTTATAGGATTGATAGTTTTATTCCTTGTTTATTTATAACATAGTTCAAAAAAAAATATGCGAAAAATAAAAATTAACAACAAAAAGAAAAAAAAAATTAGCTTGTTTGAGAGACTAGCACTATAAAAAAGAGGACACAGACATTGAAAATATAAATGTTGATTAAATGTAACAAATTCTTTAGCTAATTCATCATTCGTTCTGTGTGATAATATTCTTCATATGATTAAACCTATATTATCCAAATTAATAAGAGAACCAATTAGAATCCATGACGATCATGAATCTTGTTCATAAAATTGGGTTAATTTTATATTATACAATGCAATTATACAATCTTCATGCATCAATGAATAATCTTTGACTGCAATATTTAATTCATAACGATCAGATTCTTCTTCATTACCCAATAGACTAAAATAAAGTTCTTATTCATTCAAAATAAATAATTTATAAATGAAATTTTTCATTATTTTTGGGTGTGGATGTATTACTCTTTGTTTTTAGTTGTATGTTTTCATTTTTTATCATTTAAATGAGGACTACACATAGCTAATTCAACATAATGGACGAAACATTCCCATTATGCGACATTTTAAGACCGTTTACAGACACAACTAACTTCTCAGAACTAATGAAATCTTTTTTTTCTTTACTTTAAATACTTTTTACAGTAGCTTGATGTTCATCAGTACCCGAATGTGCAAATAAATCAACTTGAATCAATACTTCATTAAAAGATTCCTCAAATGCTGGACGATCTTTAATAAAAAAAAATCAAATTTAATAAATTGATAAAGAATAATTCAATTTGTTATTTTGCTCATCTTTTTTAGTTTTAAAGTTAATTGTAATTGTAATTTTTTATCTAAATAATTTTTGTTTAAACCTTGTCTAGATACATGAACAATTTTTTTTTATATCTTCTAAAACACGATCTATTATTTGATATTGCTTTTGAATTAAACTTCAATCACTATCTCGATCTATTGCTATTCAAATACAAGAAATATATGTCTAAACAATCAAAAAAACTCCTGATAAAAGTCAAAAGTATCTTCAATTTTAGTTGTTAGAATTGTTAAAAGATTTTTGTTGAATCGGCAAATGGTGATAAAACAATAACTTTTTTTTTAAATCACTAATTACTGCTTTCCATGATCCTTTTAGAAGACGTTTAAGTGCGGTCTTTTCATACTGATTTGCAACGAATGTCAATCCAAAAATGATTAAAAAAAATTATTTTCAATCGAAGACGAGTAACTATTATTCAATTAACTCTTCTGATTAAAAGCTAAGGCTACAATAAATTCTATAGCATATCAAATTACACAGTCACATAACTAATATGAGATTTTATTGTATTCAACTCTTGCTTTTCTTCTCGATTCAGGATACTCATATTTTCGTATACAAATTGTTTTTATTATAAACAACAAGATAAGAAACATATTGGTAAATATCTACAATTGAGATTATACTCCAAACCGAGTGAAAGCAGTTTGTACTTTAACATTTCCTAAACTATGTTATATTTGTGAGAGTTTTAGATACTCGTTTTTTTAAAGAGATACTTCTGTAAACAACTTTCTATTATGGATCGTTGAAGATACTATTAATGCATCGACTTCAACAGTTTTATTACAAATGCTTCAACAGATCAAATAATCGAATAGACAGAAGAATCTGCTTTTTAAATAATTGCGTTTCTGAGAATGCATATCGCCTATTAGAAAGAGAATACTCTGAACTAAATGCATCCATTAGGAAAGATAATGAACTATTATTGAGTTAAATATTGAAGAAAATTGATTGTTAACGTAGGGTACAAGCAGTAGTCTTTCCTTCAACTACACCCACATCAACAATATCGCATGAGCTAAGAACTATAGTCTCTGATGCATAACGTTTCATAACTGAAGCATTATGTTTTATACTTATGATTGATATTTTGCCGATTTTGATGGAAGCAGTCAACATAAAAGTTGAATGGAAACTCGTTTTTTTTTGTGGTTTCACGATGTGCCGCTTAGGACTATACCAATATTTTTGAGAGATTTGAATTTGATTTCTACTGAGTTAGGGAATTTGTATTTGAACTCATTTTTTGACTTAACACTAATGGATACTGGGAGAATGAATTTTGTAATGAAAAATAAAAATATCAAGAGAAAAATTTAAAACACATAAATCAACGCATTTTTTGGTACTCATTTCGAATACACTATTAATTTTGATTTGAATCCAATCGTTTTAATCGAAATCCGCTAAATATCAATCATAAGTGTAACAAATGTTGTCTCAATAATAATGTATTAAGGCATTACTCAAGTGGTCAGTCTAGTACGCCCTACTATGTCATGCTATTGTCAAAATCTATCTCTTCTCTCACTATAATGGAAAAATCTTCAAGTTTCAGTCAACACAAATCAGCTTTCATGAGATGACGTATAATGAAACACGCATATAATTAATAACTAGAGTATGATATCAAAATGCATTTGAAATAGTGCAAAAATATTTACTATGATGAGATTTATCATTATGAATGTGTTCGACAATGGTATGTCGAATCATAAAAGACAATAGATCGATTTATAGTGGTATACGCCTTCGGTTTTTTTTTGTAAGATCATAATTTTGAAAAGTGGAAAAACATTCAAATTAATTATTTTCAAATCTTTGTCATTTATTTTCCATTAAAGAATAATCGAAGCACTTGACAGCAGGTGTCAGGAGCGATTTGTGAAAACGACATAACATAATTAGTTTTTATAAGCTGTCAAAACGCATTTGATTACGGATAAATATGTAATTAACACATTCAAGAAGATGGAGTCCACTAGTAGACCTCACTGCAGGACGACCCAAAAGTTCCTTTAGCACAGAAAAATTTGAATACCTCTGCCATATTTTGGTCAAACGGACTGATTCTTTTACCACTGATAAAGGAATCTTCATAGATTATATCTCTAAAAGAAACATTGACAAAAGCTGTGTTGAAGTATTACAACTGTCATGAATAAAGAAATGCAACTTTTCACGAATTATGAAAAAAACAATATTCATATCGCCGCGAATATGTTAAGATTTCAAATAAAGACACAGAACCAATTCGAAAAAAGAATAATAGACACTTTAAAGAAAAAAATAATTTTATTTTTACACAGCTCAATAATATTTAATATTGAAGTTAACATGTATTCTTTCATTCGTTTTGCAACGTCTACGAATTGGATTTGAGTAATTCATTCTAATAAACGAAGACAATTTTCTACTCGATGAAGTATTATGCTCATGAATAAATATAAAAACTATACTTTTTTATTGATTGAATAATTTCTCATACTTCGAGGTCACTACGGTGCTGGAAATGTTTATTAATCGTCTTGATTGCTTATCGAGTTTGACTTTCTCTAATTACTTGTAAATACGACAGAGATTGAAAACTGAGACTTGGTATTACATTACTGTAATCATACAAATTGAATAAAATAACAAAATGACTAGCATACATACATATTTGATCGTAATTCATTGCTAGGTTTTTTTTACGAGAATGTAAAAAATTTTCTATTTAATATTATCATGGAGTCAAATTCATTTTAATCATTAATCAGAATATTAATGATTAAAATTCAATCAATACGATCGATGTCCTTTTTGATGTGATGAATTCACTTTAATCATAATTCACATCATTTTATAAATTTTTCAATAGAAGACAATTCAAACAGCAATTCTTTGACTATCATTTATATACCAAAGAAAACAAATCATTTTTATTAAATTCTCAAAATCAGTAAGTATTCAAATAGATACTTCGTACAATCAATTATTAGGAACATTTATGACATTAATGATATACTGACAGATGAGTCTCTCAATGATTAAACTTTCGACACTTGAACTTGACATAAGGAAAAAATTAAAGAAATACAAGAAGTTAATTTTATTCGAATAAGTTCACGGTCATATTAAAAAACTAAATAGTACTCTTGCTCGTTTAAAGTATAAGTCTGTTGTTATCAAATGAAAAGTCAAAATTACTCGTTGGAATTTTTTATTAACTTCATATTTAATACATTTCTTTAGTTTTACAAGTCCGGCTTGCAATTATTCAACTATTATCAAGTTCATGTATTGTTCTATTCATAAATCTTTGATGGATGATTGTGTAAGTGAAGACAAGATCACAACCACATCCGTTAACACCATAAGATATCGTATGTCTACATGCATTTTTTTACATATTGAACACAACAATCTGATATTGACGTCATATTTTGCTTCATTCATCGACGAAGACTCAAGTATCGAGAGGCTCATCTGTCGTGTCACGTATGTCAATACCAGCTGAGCTATCCAGTAATTGATATATAGTTGAAATAATTCAACATACAGCTTTCCATCTATGCCTTTCACTTTCAGTTGTTTTTTTTCTCTGTACATTAAATAAAAAACTTACATTCTTAATATAGGCTCTATTAACTTTGTACTTCGACGGAACAGAAAGTTGAATATTTGAATAGCTAGGCTATTTTTTGTTTCTTTCAACTTCATAGTAAGATAATAAATTTTTCAAACTAAAAAGTATTTATTTAAATTGTTTTAGGATTGCACTTAAATATTTCATAGAATTTAATTATCATTTTGAAAAGAAAATAAATGAAAGAGCTAGAATATGACATACATACCAGTATCCTTACTGAGTACATGGAAAACGTCCTTATTTGAACGAGTCTTTGGCGATATCCTGACAAATGCTGCAATCCGTGTAATATGATGATATTACCTTTCTTTCATGAAAAATTTCTTCTCGAATATTTCCATGTGTTTTATAAACAAGACCATAGAAAAAAAAACAAAAGTTCTGGGATGAGTCTTTATTTTTAATAATTATTTATTAAAAGAAAATTTGTTTTCATTCACTCAATGACTGCATTTTTATTCAATAGAAAATCTTCGGACTTTGACTTATGGCAAGAATTATTCTTTTTTTTTTGAAAGTCTAAGCTAAGTAAATTTTACAAATCATTAAAACATTAATGCCGATATCTCGAACCTATTTAGATTAATTAAAATTTATTTCCTGTATGTATAACAACAGCAATTCCGTCTACTGATAGAAGGGGAACCAAATTAAGTGCTCTTTATAAAACATTGTCGACAGATAATGATGCTATGACATCATTTAATATGCCCGTATGTGTTAGTACTTTCATTCTATTCATGCGCGCGATTACAGATATTTTTTATTCTAAGTGTTGCTTTTCAATTTCTCTCGTGTTTTATAATACGTTATTAACTCACTAGAGATGTGGACGTGAAGATCATTGACTTAATCTTTGATAAATTAGTAATATTATTCAGACAGACTATCGAAACTCAAGAGTCAGATGATGATATCATTTCGATAATCTGAATATTTCAATTAGTTCTTATTTCCAATACATTTTACAAACAATATTTTATTAAATGATGTGTTTGTAAATTGAATTAATGTTTGTGTTCCATACTGATTAAAGATTAATTAAATTATATTTATAGATTATCACACAATTTTTTAAATTTAGTTTTTACATTTTTGTTCTGATCTTTTTTTTTTAATTATTTTTTTTTTTTGATATCTATTGAACATCTGTTAATATAAAAGTTAAAGAAAATTATTTTTTCCGGTAATTTGCATTTTTTTAAAAATCTGTCAAACATGATTAATGACAAAAATCTGTGTAATATAAATTTAATTTATTGTAATTAGTATATGCATGACCTAGTGTTTTCTTCTTTTGTTCTTTTTCTTAATTTTATTTTTTTTCCTATTATGATTCGAAGAACACCGTATCTTTCCGTTTTTCTTTTTTATGCTGTCATGTTTTTTTCTTCTTCAGTAAATGCCGCTTGCCATCATTGTTTTTTTTGTTCTGAGAAGATGTCTTCTGCTGCTCCTGACTGCATTTGTATCGTCTTTCTGAAATTTTCTTTTTCTTCTCATTTTTTATTTTCTTATTCTCTTCCTGTGATAAGAGAGAGAGAGAGAAAAACAAATATCTTAGCTTGTTTTCAAGCGTACTGAGAAAGTTATAGGTTGAAATTTTTCATAATATTCTATTTTTATCTTTGATAGAAAGGTAGATGAGTAATTTCGAATAGAATTAGTTAAACAATCGATTAATTGATAGATTATCTTGACTTGTTCTTTTTAATGAGAACGAGAAATATTTATATCCAATATATTCGACAAGAATGACCAATGAATTTTCTTTAAAGATTTTCAACATCATGTATTTTTACTGAAAGAAAAAAAAACAAAATGCTATTCCTTAATGGTCGGACTCGTAATCCGATGATGCCGCCTACGAACATGCGTAATGGAGTATATACCTATAAATTGACTAATTTCTTCGTCATTTGTGGTTCTCTAGTAATAGTAATTGGACTTATTCTTATTGTCATTGGTGTTATATATGAAGTAAATAGTACTAAATTTATTGGTATTGGTTTAATTTGTTTTGGAATTTTCTGTTTTCTGATGAAAATTATTTGTTTGTATGGTAAATTGGATATATGTTATAATAATTGGATTTATCGAACTCGTGTTGCGCCAGTGAAGCATGATTCATCTCAACCAAAACCAACAGGTACATTATCGATTTCTCCTCGTCCTAAATCACCTGGAACGATACAAAAACAATCATCTGTAGTACCACCCGAAGATCCAACACATAGAACAGTAATATCTGCTATAGAAATTCATAATGTTCTAACTGAACAATCAATAAAAAACGATGTAACAATCAATAATTCTAATAATATGGCTTAATATCTCCATATCAAATATTATGCTTTCAATTATTTCCGTGTACATTTCATATTCTCCTATTTGTACGTTAGTTTTTTTCTCTTCTGACTGTTACAAAAGGTTTTTCATCAATCATTGTTTTATTAATATATCAAGTAAGTTTAATTTCAAATGCTTTTTTTTTTGTATTGTTAAAAGCTAATACTAAAGTAAAATAGTATAAACAATCTTTAAGCTTATGGCATTGTAAAATTTTGCAGTCTAACTTAAAAACTAAAAATTATTCAATTCATTAAAGCCTTTTCCTCGATAGCGATCTTAGGTCAGAAACATTTAAATCACATAAATTGCTCAGAGTATGTTGAAGCTATAGTGGAGGATCTATATGATCAAATTTGTCGGTTTGATGCAATGAAGTTTTCAAGAAATATTTATTAAGTTAAGATTAAAAATAGCTAATTTGTAACTCGAAATTATCTATGAGTCTTCATTCTGTATAGATATATATTATTTTTCTTTTATTTAACACAGCATATCGTGTTGCAAGGTCTGACACAACTCTTATTTTATTGTTAGAGAAAAAGAATGAGAAGTTGAGTACTGCAAAAAGTGCCGATTTTGTTTTAGAGAGTTTTGCAATATTGAATTTGTCATCCTTAGTCTTCAACAAAAATGTAAGAATATCAAGAGCTTTATTACCTGACATGTCCTTTTAAACAATGTAAAAAAAATATATAAATAGAGTGAAGGCCCATAGATAATTTCGAATTGGCAAATTAACTATTTTTGACTCTCGTTTGATAGAAATATCATGGTATTGAGCTAAAAATTTTATCATAACCTCTTTGTTACAGCTCCAACATATCCTATTTAAATTCGAAGCAGAAGCTTAAGAATTTTAATAAAATAAATTCAATCTGTTGTTAGCAATAAAAATATTCATTGTACGATATTCAACGTCATATAGTGATTTATAGTCATGAACCAAATCCTTAATAATCATCTTATTAGCTAAAAAAAAATCAATCGAATTTTTTGCATGTTTAAATATATTTATTTTTATTTCAAATACAGAAAAATAAGAATTTGTATTTAATAGTTCTTAATATATTTTTTGTTGAATAGATTACATTACAAGACAAAATTTTATGGTTTTGGTTTTGTTAAAAAACTTTCATGTCTTGTACATTTCCATTGAAGTAATTCTTTTGTATTCATTCTATCAATATGATCATCAAAAAATGGTCGTAATTTAAAACCATGTGCTATGCCAAATAAAACACGATTACGTTCAAGATCAACATGACTATTAGCTAATGATATACTATAAGCTTTACTTAATGATTGAATAGCTGAATCATATTGACTCTAAAAAAAAAATAAAATAAAAGAAATTTTGAATAAAAAAAATTGTAATCATAATATTTACTAATGTATTATGAATAAAACCAAGTGCACTACATGCTCTTGCATATTGTGTATCACCTTCTTTATCGGATACTTTTTGTAAATATTGTGTTAAATATTCTGTACTTTTTTCTACATTAGCTTTTCTAAATAATAAAAATAAACAATGAACATTATTTTATTTTATTAGTTAAAAATTACTTTTGATAACAAATAGCTAAGGCTTCACTTGCTTGACCAAAACCTTCATCATCATTAACTTGTTGACAATAATCATAATATTTATGAAGATATTTTAATGCTAAATCAATATTTCCATGTTCTACATAGGCTTGTCCTAATTTATAACTTGTTTCATTTTCAACTTTTTTATCATCACCTAAATACAATAAAAACAAAAAGTAAATTTTTTTATTTCTTTCGAAATATTTTATTTTAACAAATACTTGGAAATCTTTTAGACAATATGTTTATTCACTTTTGGCGTATTTAATCTTTGAAAAATCCAAAAAATTAGTTCGGAGAGATAATTTTTTTATATTTTCACTATTGCAATTCGGAACTAAAAGTTGGGATCTTTATTTATATATCAGCTTTTAGATCACAAGCTACCCTACAAAATGCATTATTTGAAGTTTTTTTATATTTCGACAGGGCACCAGAGCCTAGTGGGCTAGTCCCGGATGCGGTCAAGCCCGGGTCTAAAATTTTTCTGTTAATCGGATTTGGGTCCAAAAATTTTGGACCCAACAGACTCTCTACTGGATACCTCAATTTTCGTTTTTCCTATATACTCATTTTTGAAAAATCGATAATCGTTTTACAGTGAAAGAGCTCTTGAAAACGTGCTTAGGTAAAAGTTACAGCTTAGTTCAATATCACATTTTGTAAAGAAGTGTCCGTTCTACAAAACGAGTGCCTGCGACAATTTTTAACATGTTCAAAAAGGGACTTCTAGAATAAATAGAAATTGGTTGGCTCGTCATTAAAAATAAGTTTTTCGGCCTTCTAAAAAGTCTCACAAAAATCGGCACAAAATTTCTCAGTCGATATTCAAATTCTGGTCGTGACCTATAATTTTTGACTCGTCTGAAATACTTTAAGAAACATGTTCACAGGAAATTTCAATCCACAAGTTCCGTTCAAACTAATCTCGAACAAAATTTCCAACCCCATATTCAAAAAGAGTACAAAATCATAGCTTTTAACTCGTTGAAAATATGTGAAAAGTGAACAAATATTTTGTCTAAAAACTTTCTGATCATCTGTTACTTTGTGTTGAAGCTTCATATGCTTTAACAACATATTGAAGTGATTCATTATCAGTTCGACGTTCAGCTAATTTCATATATAAACGTGTTAATTGAAGACTAGCATCAGCTTTTAATTGTTCATAATCTTCACTTAATTGACGATATTTTATAAAACTATGTAATGCTTTCATTAAATCACCTAGAATAATTTAAATTTATTATTATAATTATTTTATGTCTTTATTTATGTTTTATTTAACCTCGTCTTTCATATGCTAAACCAACATTAAGATGTGCTTCAGCTGCTAATTGTGGATCAAGTTGTCGATATGTTTGAGCAACTGATAAACATTTTTCATAGAATGAATCTGAAAGCCAACGATCATCACTTTTTAAAAAATACGATGCTAATTCAAGATAATTATGATACATATTTGAATATTGACCTTAATGAAAGAAAAATTTAATTAATTTTTTCTTTAAATATGAAAAAAAAAAAAAACAAATTTACATCGTCGTTCAGCTTCTTCAGCTTTATTAAGATGTGAACAAAGAAAACGTAATTTATCTGGTTCACCATCAAGTAATGGTCGTTCATGAAGTGGATGTTCAGCACCTAATCGTTCACGATCTTCTTTTTGCCATGTTAATATAGCACATAATTCACGAAATGAATTATGATAACCATGTCGAAGCATATCAATTGATAATTGACGTTTTAATGAACTTCGAAATCTAGTTTACAAAAATACAAAAAAACAAATTCGATATTCAAAATATAAATTGTTTTTTATAGAAATTTGACTTTTCAGTATCTTCTTTTTGAAGTATTGATTGGTGTTCATAAGCTGTTGCAGCATTTTTTATTTGATTTAATGGAAGCTACAAAACAAATAGAGAATAAAAAAAAAAAAAGAATGACTAATCAAATTAGGTTTATTACGAACTTTATGTTTTTCTTTATAAGTTTTACTAGGTAAAATAACATTACGATAAAATGCTGTTTGACCTTTCGAAGAGGTTTCATTCGATTTTTTTGTTCGATAAGCTGTTGTTTCCGCTAAATATATAAAATTATATATATTAAAGCAAGAGATCATCTTGACATTTTGTTTATGATGTCGGAGATTCTCTTTTTTAAATTTGCAAACAAGTTAATTTTTATTTATTATTTAGATTGACAATACAAAAAGAGATTAGAAATAGCAAAAATTTCTGATTAATAGAAAACATGAAACGAGTATGATCATTTGTTGCACATAGATAGAATCAATGTTGATGAATTTGTTTAATTGTTTTTCTCGGTGTTAACATATATCTGTAAAAGAGCTTGATCATGAAATGGTCGGTAGGACACAGTCAAATGTCGTGATCTATTTTTAAGGGTACTTTCTTTTCCTCTCGTCTTTTGGACCACTTCTGGTTTTCGACAAAGGTACAACCGATCGGATTGAAATTTTTTGTATAGGTACCTGATACAAAGTCTCAGATGTTTTTTTCAACTTTTTGAAAAATATCAATCTCTCAGTTTTTTAATTAACAAAATATGAAAAGCACTAGCTGAAAAGTTGATGTTCCAGTAAGTGTTTTCCATATTTTTTGATTAAAAATCAAGATATTGATGTTTTTCAAAACGTTTAAAAAAAACATCTGAGACTTTGTCCGAGATACCTACAGAAAAAATTTCGATCCGATCGGTTGCACTCTTGCCGAGAAATATAGGTAGTCCAAAAGAGGATGGTATCCTTGAATATGGTTGTCAAAAATATCCATATCTATACTGCATTTATCTAATATTGAGAGCTTATGTAGGGCTTTTCGATTTTTAGAAAAGTTTTTATAGTTCCTCTGTCTATCACAATCTCTCAAAGGTAAACATAGGTGAAATACATTTTTGATCACTCTCTCTTATGTGTTATGATTACGTACGCATTATGTATGAACCGAAGTCTGTACATATGAAGAAAACGAATGACGTCGCAAAAGCTGATTATGCAAGACTAAATGGACTTTGTTAATGGATTGAAATCAAAACTAATGGAAAGAAAAAGTTTTAAATTAAGGAAATTTTCTTTTAAAACAAAACTTGAAGTTTATATTCTGAGTAGAAAATCTTTTCATTCAGTATTGTAAAATGTTTCTTTTTTTTATATTTCAATGCTTAACATTTTTCCACTCTATAAAATGAACTTGTTTTTATAATAAACGCTTTTCAACCGTCTCGATTGTGTTCACAGTAGAAGGATGGCATTATAGTTAATTACTCTATTAGAAGAATAATATTTCACATTTTTCTCAATTAATATATTAACTTAATATATGGATAAGTTTGTCCAGAAAATATTCCTGCAGAGATCAAGTTTGTCTTCTGTTCTTGAAAGCAGATATTAATTTCTTAATCGAATTTTTAGAAATTATAAAATTTTTGATCAAACTAAAATTATAAAAGACTTACTCATATTATTATCTTTTGTTTTGAAATTAAGCTCATACAAATCAAAATTATTAGTTCCAATCAATCACGCAATTGAAAAATAAGAATAATCGATTCTCTTTTCACCATTTTACAATTCCTAACTATAACAAATATGACTCCAATCATGGAAAATCAGTGACATCTATATTTCGTTATTAAATACTCTTCTGTATTAAATATAGTATTTTTCATTTTAGTTTCAAAATTTATTGATTAAAAAACTGTAATAACAAATAAGTTAATTTCGGTTGAATATTTTCAAAAACCAATATGATTGTTCCAAAACTTAAGATCTTGAAAAAATTATCAATCCGTTTAACTGTTCAAACTAAAAAGAAAAAAAATGAAGAGATTTATTCATTTAACATATTTTATTTTTATACTATTTATTTTAAACATTCCATCCATTGAAAATGTTGATCGTAGTAATTTTAAAACCTGTGAGCAAAGTTCATTTTGTCGGTAAATATTTTTCAGCTAACTTTTCTTTCATAATAAAAAAATAAATACATTTTTAATTAGACGACAACGTAAATATAAACCAGATATATCACCTTATGAAATCGATCTTAATTCAACAAAAATAATTAAAAATGGACACTTACGATTTCTACTTTTGAATACTTTAAAATCTCATATTAAATTTAAATTAGAAATTTTTACACTTGAACATAATTCATTACGTATTAAAATCAATGAATTAAATCCAATAAGAAAACGTTATGAAGTTAAATATTCTCTTGTTGGTGAACTAAAACTTGTTAAGTAAGAAAAATTCTATCATAAACGAAACTAAGTAATTTCTTTCAGTATGAATATAACAAAATCAGATGAAAAACAAATTGAAGTTAATTTTGGTGAAAGAACTAAATTTCTACTTAATGCTAAGCCATTTCGATTGGATTTATTTACCAATGATATATTTGTTATGAGTGTTAATTCAAATAATATGTTCAATTTTGAATATTATCGAAAAAAACCAGAGTAAGAGTATCTTTATATTTCATATATATATATATAAATAAATATAAATTTGTTTTTTTTTTATGAATAGATCAAATAAAACAGCAACTAATAACAATGTTAGTAGATGACTGTTCTAAATGAATTGTAAATATAAAGCTTGAATATTTAGTTTTTATGAAATGTCATTATTATTAAGAAGAAAGTTGAATCTACTACGCTTTTTATTTTCAATCCTATTTCAATTCTATAGAGGTGATGCTAAAATGATTATTGTATAGATATCTTTTCAAATAATAATTGATTTTGCATGGCACACTTCAACAAGTTTATAAGAGAAAATTAAAAAAACTGAAATTTTCGAATCGTACCTTAAGTTTTTTCACCTCGGTAATAATTGATGAGTATCGGTTTTTTTTAATTTAAACTCATTGAATAAACATTCTATATAGAAATGTATTATCCAATGGAAAGAATGATGATCCTTCGAAGTGCGGATTTGTCTTTTCCCTCTTTTCGGTAAAAACAACCGGGATACTGTACTGCAATATAGATATGAATTAATATAGAACCGCCAGTGTTTTATCTAGCGTGAGGGTCGAGGAGCGACGTTCTTCCCGAGTTTTAAATTGTCCTTCCAGAGGATAAAACACTGAAGGCTGTCATGGTTAAGTGACTACATTGTTCAACACATATCCACAATGTACTGTGTTCCTACCGTGACATCACCAAATATAGAATGACCCTGGACAGGTTACTAATGGCTGCTTACCTTGTATCATCCGTCAGATAGTATGCTGACTACGTTGTGATATACATCTGCTCTAGTGGCTAGTTAGTGTGTATATGGAAGAATTCGCCACTAGGCAACATCCCATACTGCAAGGTAGCCAAATGGCACAGATATTCTAGAAGATGAACTAATCATCCAAACGGAAAACAGTTAATTTCAGGATTTCAAAATTTTAATAAATTCTAACAGACTTCGGAAGTTACATGAAATTTTCGCGATATCTTAAAACTGAGTAATAGTCATGAACACTGCTGATCGATTGTAATTTAATTATAATTAGTATAATAGCCTCTTTTCCTTGTATCTTAATAAAAATCAAACAGATACATTTAATTCAATGGGATTTCGTTTAGGCTTGGATATGATATTGTTGCCCGTCAAACTTTATTAAATATTCTTTTTTTATGTAGAATGAAGATGGAATGTGGGAAGAAACATTTAAAAATCATCATGATTCGAAACCATATGGTAAAAATCAATTGTTGTCTACTCTTAATTAATAATAAAGAATTTCTTTTAAGGTCCATCATCTATCGGTGTGGATGTAAATTTTCTTAATTTTGAAAATGTTTATGGTATTCCAGAACATGCTGATGCATTTTCACTTAGATCTACACAGTAAAAAAATCTTTTTTATTATTAAAAAAAAAGCCAAAAGAGTTGACTGAGTTGTTTTTAGTGATAGTGATCCATATCGTCTCTTTAATGTTGATGTTTTTGAATATGATATTCTAAATCCTATGGCTCTTTATGGTTCTGTTCCATATATGCTAGCTCATAAGTAAAAGAATTATTAATTAAAATGCTTTTTCAAATTATTTATTTATTTCTAGTGAACATACGACTGTTGGCTTTTTTTGGTTAAATTCAGCTGAAGGATGGATCGATGTTAATTATAATAAATTGAGTCTTAAAGTAAATATTGACATTTAGATTAGTTAAATGTTCTGTGAAAGATCAGAATGATTAATCTTTTCTGCATCTATATGCTTTTAGTCTCAAGTATTAATTGTTTTATTCTTTTGTTAAGTTTTTGAGTGAAATTTTTATTCGGTCAAACATTAAAATTGACATAGTTCTCTATGACTATCACACATATCCGAACTTCTGTCAGCGATGGAACCAGTCTGAATAGACAAGGCCGATGAAGTCTGTCGAATCCGAATACGAAAACTTTGGATTCGATGGGGTTCTAGTGGTTCCATCTCTGATTTCGGTATCAAACTTAAATAAGACAGATCACTGAAATGAATAATTCAATTTATTTATTTATTTTTATTTATTCTTAGAATTTCTTTTCAACAAATACAAATTTTTTTGCTACTCAATCAAATACTAAGAATAATGAAATACCAGAAGTAACAACTCATTGGATGTTTGAATCAGGAATTTTTGATGGATTCTTTTTTATGGGTCCAACACCGAGAGATATTTTTAAACAATATACAGTTATTACAGGTTCTGTTCCACTTCCACCGGTATGGATCTTTTAAATTGTTTTAAGACTAATTCGGTTTTTTTATATTTAGTTATGGGCAATTGCTTATCATCAATGTCGTTGGAATTATATTGATGAAGACGATGTTCGAAAGTATCTATTTAATTAATCTCAATATTCATTGAAAAAAAAGATATTTGTTTAGTGTTTTAAATGGTTTTGAACATCATCGAATTCCACTCGATGTTATTTGGCTTGATATTGAACATACAAATGGTAAACGATATTTTACATGGGATATATCAAAATTTCCAAATCCAGAAAAATTACAAGATGATATTGCTATTTATCGAAGGAAAATCATAACAGTATCTGATCCACATATAAAAAAAGATGATGGATATCAAATATATAATGAAGCAAAAACGCGAGGATATTTTGTTAAAACAAAAGATGGACAAGATTATGAAGGATCATGTTGGCCAGGTGGAAGAAAAAAAGAAATTTATGAAGAGAAAAATTTCATTTTTTTTTCTTTCTTTTATTATTAGGTTCTTCAATGTGGCTTGAATTTTTTAATCCTGATATTTTTAAATGGTATTCACAACGATATTTATTTGAAAATTATAAAGGTACAACAGGAAATCTTTTTCTATGGAATGATATGAATGAACCATCTGTATTCAATGGTCCAGAAATAACATTTCCAAAAGATATTGTTCATTATGGTGGATGGGAAGATCGAGAAGTACATAATCTTTATGGTATGCTTCATCATATGTCAACATTTCAAGGTCTTTTAAATCGTTCAAATGGACATATACGTCCATTTATATTAACACGTTCATTTTTTGCTGGTTCACAACGTACAGCAGCTATATGGACAGGTGATAATTCAGCACAATGGAGTCATTTAAAAATAACTATACCAATGTTATTAAGTTTATCAATAACTGGTTTTGGTTTTAGCGGAGCTGATGTTGGAGGATTTTTTAATAATCCAGATCCGAAATTACTTGTTCGATGGTATCAAGTATGTTGAGAAGAAAAACAAAAACAAAAACATATTCAATGATTTGTTTTTGTTTTTTTTTTAACTTTTAAGATGGCAGCATATCAACCATTCTATCGTGAACATGCACATATTGATACAGCTCGTCGTGAACCATGGTTATTTGGTGATGATAATACAAGACTCATACGACAAGCTATTGAACAACGTTATAGTTATTTACCTTATTGGTATACTTTATTTTATAAACAAGAAAGACAAGGAATACCACCTATGTTACCATTATGGGCAAATTTTCCAAAAGATAAAAAAATATTTAAAAGCGAAGATTCATTTATGATTGGTATGTATCATTTAAAGAAGTAAAAGAATTTCATTGAGAAAAATTTTGATTCTTTTTTTTTTTAATAGGTAATGGTCTTCTTGTTTATCCGGTGATTGAAGCTGATATTAATCAAATTTCAGTTTATTTTCCTGGTGAAAATACGGTAAGAAAAATAAATATTAAGATATTATATTTCTTTTTGTTTGTAAAGGTTTGGTATGACATACAAACATATACTCAATATAATGGTTCGGAAACAGTATTGATTAATGTTGATATGGAATCAGTAATTCAAAAAAGAAAATTAATTAGAAGCATATTTGTATATTGTTAATTTTTGTTTTTTTTTAGATTCCAGTTTATCAGTTAGGTGGTGTAATTATTCCACGAAGATTAAGAAAACGACGTTCTTCAATGATTGCTTTACACGATCCAATTACTTTAGTAGTTGC